ATATTTATACATACATACATACATACATACATACATACATACATACATACATACATACATATATATATATATATACATATACATATACATATACATATACATACACATACATAACACCTACATACATACATACATACATACATACATACATACAGACATACATACATACATACATACATACATACATACATACATACATACATACATACATACATACATACATACATACATACATACATACATACAGACATACATGCATACATGCATACATACATACATACATACATACATACATACATACATGCATGCATACAAACATACGTACACACACATACATACGCACACACATAAACATACACATACATACGTAGATACATATACATACATAAGATATACAAACATATACACATACATACATACATACATACACAAAAATACATACATACACATAAAATACATTCATATATAAATACATGCATACTTACAACAAAACATACATACACACATACACAGACACAGACACAGACACAGACACAGAAACAGACCCAGACATATATATATATATATATTATGGGATATTATAACTATATAATACAATAAGAATATTATAATAATAATAACGAAAATAATAATAATAGTAAAATAAATAAATAAACAATAATAATAATAATAAGAAAAAGAATAATAATAATAATAATATAAACAAGATTAAGAATAAGAATAATAATAATAGTAATAATAATAATAAGAATAATAATATATGACATATATATCAGTGTCGTGTATCAAGCCACCTTACCAAATGACTCGATCACAGGTCCTCTCGTATATGCGTGACGTATTAGGTCTGCATAGCGAGACCGTCAATAAATTCATTAAATGAATAGTTGCCAAATAGACCAGAAAATAAACACAAACATAAGCGTATACAATATTCTTGGTTTACACAAACCCCTATCCACGGCCAATTTCCAGGATTGCTTCTATGAAAGATAAAGACACATTGAGTGTACATATATCAATCTGAGTGGGCACAAACTTATCTATCTCGACGAATGTTCAGTCTACAATCTTGGCCTGGTTACACCGAATAGTGGCGCACATAGTTTCAAACAACCTGAGACAATGCACACGGTGATAGACGTAAGCTGTACTACAAGCACAACTAGACTAAGCAGAATATTATGTATATGCCAACACACTCCCAAATTCTCAAAATCTCACACACACCTTTATCACGCTCGTTGGTACCGACCCCTTCACCGTAGGAATGAAAAACTTGGCCTTCCTACCGCCCTTGCAACTCAATTCTTGCAGCTTTCTAATCGTCCCCGGTTCCAGGTTAGCCCTCCCCAACGTAGCATACGGCGAGGACTTCGGTGCTCTGTCCAACGAGAGGTTGTTCAGCTTTGCTGTCACCCCCCCTTTCGTACTAGTGGTACTGGCTGGCGTAGTCGTGGGTGCAGAGGCGTGTGCAACAGGGTGGAGGAGGCGCGGTTTGTTTGGTGTTTGTATGTGTGTTTGTGTATATGGTCGTGCTTTAGAGCTTTCGGTAGGCCTGTAAGGGCCCTGTGTGGCATACCGTGATTCGCCCTGTCCAATCACTACTTTCTTTTTCTTCTCCGGGGCTGCCTGGTTTGTGAGTCCGGGTGCGGTTGCCCCTGACATACTCTGTTTCTCTAACTTTGGTGTTGTAGTGGTTTTAACTACAACATCGGGCCGATCTGTGCTCCCGACTACCATACTTGATGTGATGGGTTGCTCGAGTTTCCCTTTTCTTTGCGTATGTGAAGTGTCGTACTTTGTATCTGGCTGCAGAGAATGCTTGTATTGGACACTGGTGCTGTTTGTGAGAACGCCCGTTAAACCCGTCCCGTCAAGATCTTTGGTCCCACTCACACCACTGTATATATCCTTCATCTTCTCCTCCATTGCAGACCCAGACATCCGCATGTCTTCATCTTCTGGCACACTTCCTTTGCCCTCCATGGGCCCATGCGTCCCCGTGACAACCCCTTTATGTGCAACTCCTGTATCATCCAGTTCATACACTTTCCTACTCACTCCCACATCCACACTCTGCTTCTCTACTCCAGGTCTACTCTCACCCAGGGTATTATCATCTTTACCTGGCATTGGATCTCTGCCAGTCATCGACTCCGCACTCTCTTTACCTGTCTCTGTATTTATCATGTTGCCCAATACCCGCGATCGTGCCGGCACCTCTGCCGTGTTTGTACTCTTCTTCGGGGGTGCACTGCCTACGCCAATAACCACCTTCTTCTTCCCATCGGTAGTCTGTGAGACAATGTCCATCTCCGAAAACGACTTCTCTGCCGTATGTATCGCATTCGCTGTCGTGTGTAACGCCTGTTGTTGTGTCTCATACCATCCTCTATCCTTGGTGTTATCGGAACTAATTGCCTCATTGCGGTTCTTGCCACTTGCACCCCTGCCCAACATTGAAGTACTACTAACTACGTCTACGTGGTTCACAGAAGCGGGATCAACGTCCTTGCTGACCGCATCAGTAAGGTCATGCGTACTGACATTGGTGACAAAGGAGTCTTTATCTTCCCGCATATGGTCAGGAAGTGCCCTAGGAAGTGCCCTATCCATAATCTCTGGGTTAGAGTGATCGCCTCCATTACCTTCCCCACTGTCTTCGTCCTCCGCACTTTCCGAAGTGTCGACATTAATATGCTCACCTACACCATCCGACAGACGAGACGGTTCTTCGTCGGGTTTGTATCCGGCTGTGTCCGTGTGCGTGAGTTCGGTTGTATCCGATTCTACATCTACATGTTCATTTGTGGGCATACGTGCGTGTTCGACTACACTTCCCTCTGGTGGAATGTTACTGTCGCTGTACGGAGATTCGTCTGGCACATCCACGACGTCAGAGCTTTGTGCGCGCGTCCCTAACAGCACCGGCGGCGGTGGCGACATATCATCCGTGCGTAGGAGTGAATCGCCTGCTATATATACATTAGCTTGAGAGGAAGAGGGGGTCATGATTTTGGCCTCCTTTAACGTGTCTATTTTTAAGGGTGTTGGGGGTTTTGGATCAGACTCGGGTGCAAGGTCTGTGGGGCTGGCGGCTGTGTCGCTCGTGTTATTCTGTTTCTTGTATGCGTACTCAGTGAGCACTGTGGAGGTGCTGCTCGGCTTGATGGCCTCTGCAGAGAGTGATGAAGAATGCGATAAAGAAAGTGAATGCACAATACGAGTAGATTGACCTCAACATGCCTGCAAAATCGAGAGTAATAAAGAAAGCGACGGAGCAAGATACTATAGAATAGGATTCGATTGACCTCGATGCGTGTGCAGAATTACAAGGAAGAAAGAATGCGACATGGTAGTTGGTTATACGATAGGACTGGGTCTGACCTAGACGCAACTGCAGAGTTGTCGCGTGTTTTGTTGAACTGCATAAAAAGAACTAATTCAAGCGTGTACATATGCAAGAATATATAACTAATCTCAGCATATAAGTTATAGTATGTACATTCGTATGTATCTATGAAGGCGACTATGTTAGTTGAGGTTGCAATTGCCGCACCATTTGGTCATGATGCGATAGCAGAAAGCAGTGAAATGTCAAATCCTGTTATACTACACTGAAGTACACGCAACTATCACACAACAATCACATGTGTGAACGTAATGGGGTTTACACCCAACATATCTCGTGCAACGTCCGTCGGACAGTTCCCTGACATTGCTATTATAACACACTTGTTCTCCATGCTACCAACAGCGCCAGGAGCAGCAATTTCTTTTCCAACACATGCAATCGTATTATTGCCACGGGCAAATTTCCTGGGAACAGATGCAGGCAATTTCTGTTTTCCTTTACCTGCAGATATCCTCTGGTAGTTCTCCAGACTTCCTATAAGTACCGTTGGCATGGCTTTCACAGATTGGCTCATGTCCACAGTACTTTTATCGGCCCCAATTTGGTTTTCGTGGTTTCGGCGAGCCCTCGCGGCTATCCCAGTTCCAATAATTTTCGGTCCGCTTGACGTACCCGATTTCGTGCCAGAATTAGTACCGGAATCATTAGAAATGGATGTGAGTGGCTGTGATTCATCAGAAATGGCCATGTTTGTGCCCGCATCCCCACTTTTAGTCAAGCTTTTACCGTCAGAATTTAGTACCGATAATTCTGTTCCATTAGATCTAATTGCAACTGGCCCTGATTTAACCGAAGTGGGCAGGGCTGCTGTGTCGGGTGCAGCGGCAGCCTCGTCATCACTGCTGGCCAGATCAATGACTTGGTTGCTTTCTGTCAGTGTTTAAGATTGTAGAATTGAATTTAAAAGCTAACAATGAAATCAGATCTGCACAGAGCAATAGTCCAATATATGTATGCCGACGCCCTAGTCAGTATTGCAAACAAGTAGACTCGGTCTGTGTGCAATAACGGCATACTTTTACACGATGTCAACGCCATCCATAGCAGAGGCGAACTAAAATGTGATCAAAGACGTATTGAGACGGCACACCAACTGTTGAAGAGGTTCATTTCACTCGACAGATAGCATACACGGATATATGACATGCATCATGAACCCAGACAATCTCCGGTAGTATCACAGTCAGTACTTTGAAACTGTACTGACATTGTTTGGTGGTTCATTCGTACTTGCCTATGATATACGCTGACCAGAAGTTTTCGCACAAAACGCTGTCATATAGTGCGCGGCTATATTAAAAAATTCAATAAAGTGCATCATTGTTGACACATGCAGGCATCCAAATCAACACAGTTTGTACACTACATCTACGCAAGCAACTTTTTCAGTGAATTACCTGTACACATATACCCACACCCAGATACTACAGAAACAAGCAATGTCTACGTGTATCGCTCATACCCGGTACAGAAGCCTCCATCACTCCTGCATTCTCGTCTTTATTCTTTAAATAAGTCTTCAACAAATTCTCGTCAGCTTCGGGACTCAAGGGCTTCTTCAAAGGCGAAGGCATTGACGACTGCATGGTCGAGCAAATGTGATTCAGAAAGCGCTCGTAGCAGACAAATTTCCTTACATAATACGCATAGACAAACACAAACACAAACACAAACACAAGCATAAGCACACAGGCACACACACCGAGAGAGAGACAGACACACACACACACAC